GCTCACTGAGCATCCAACACTTCTGTGGTGGTTTTATAGGTGAGGTGTGGAAGTTTCACCCTGCTGTGTGTGCTGTTAGTCTCAGACCTTTGATCAGGAGTTTCTTTCAGTGCGTTTCTGTGGAGGTGTGTGTATCTTAACAGGCTGACATATTTGATATAGTGTGTATGCAGCCTGCTTCTGTACGTGACCTGCATTAGCATGTGTGCTAGCGGGGTGGGAGAGGTACGACGAGCAGCGAGGAGGATGCTAACCTTTAACTTGCTGAGGCTCTCCACCCGTACGGCCTAACTGACCTCCAACACAAACTTTAGCGTGTGCGTTCATCCCTGCTCTGCTCTTGCTGCTCAGGAGCTTAATGTTGACCTCATTTTGTCGAAGGGTCTTGCTGTTACCTGATTAGTGTGATGCAGAGTCAGGAGAGGTCGTGTAGGGTGGTGGAGTGCAGGGTTGTTGTTGGGTGCTCTGCTCAGTCAACCACAGGCACTCTTCATCACCTGTGGTGAATATCACGATGAATTAGTGTTGTCTGTGCATAAATAAGCACTAATCAGATTCACCATGACATAAGAAGAATGCTTTTGCTCAGCTTTTTGTAGCGTTCATCAGAGAACAGGAGCAGCTGTTGCCTGCTGGACCATAGCTTCATGCTGATGTGCAGCTTTGGTTGGTCCTCGCTCTTTGAGATTGGCTTAGTCAGTACTTAGGAACAGTTTTAATAGCACTGTCTCTAGTAGAGCAACAGTGATTGAACGTCAAAGTGCCTTTTTACAGGGATGTATGAATGTAAGGGTCATACATTAGTACCAATATAAACCCACAAACAGATGAGATGCAGGCGTTTTTCAGACAAAGGAAAATGTGACAAAGCGATTACTTAGATCCAGGTTTGGCTGCTTGATCTTTTCTTTCCAAACTATCACATATGCGTCTTTCTTGATAATTCCTTCCACTTTAACAAGATTTCCTGTTCCAGATGGACTGAAGCATACCCACAGCCTAATACTCCCACGCCCTCGTTTCACTGTGGGGACGTGTTTTTGGGGTCTACATCAGTCCCTGCGTTCTCCAAACATAAGCAATGTCTCTATTATAGGCACTCAGATGTTAATCACTGACTCTAAATGGTACATATTTGCAAGAACATGAATACAAACAGTGCTGTTTTCACATGGCAGTGCTGCAGTAAGTCAACAGCTGTGTTTAACACCGTACAGTCCTTTCAGAGGCATCTCCAGAGATCAGTGAAGCTTGCATTTCACTAGTATTAAAGTATTAAGTAATTATCATAAATATTAATCTGGCAGGAGCACATGTCAGCATTGCTGTTTAACTATTAGCAATTACCAGGATGTAAAGAGCTGCCTGAAAGGTCAGTTTGGAAATCCAGGCAGTGAGCGGCGAGAGCGTTCACAGTAAGCACTCTGTTTTCTGTCTTCTTCATTTCACAGCTAATACCACACTTTGTCCAGATGTGATACATCAAGAATGAGGTGATGTAGGGTTGGGAAGTTCATACCATAGGTGCTCTTCTAAAGATCTCAGCGTCAAGGTCAGGGATCAAGGTTTTGTAAAGTCTTGTGAATGTGATAACTCAACGAGGAGGTCACCTAAGATTTTCTACTTGATACCAGAGGTGTATCTGCTGAGAATCTCAGATGAGTTTGCATCCCGCTGACCTCGTGGTCGGAGGACAACATCTCTGAAAATCAGCTCGGATTTTTAACTTCGTGTCTTTGGCTGAGGGGGAGCGCTGCAGGCCACCAGGATTGATTTTATTTAAATCAACTTTATATTTGAAAGAATTAGTTGAACGGTAACAACTT